GGGGGGGGGGGGGGTGGGAGCATAGAGCCATGTTCATAGGTATATGAGAAATAAGAATTGATAGAATATGAGGTTTTCTAGGAGAGAAAATAAAACGAGTAAGTTTATTATTCAATTTGGAACAAGAGAGAGAGTATCGATCTTTATTTAGAATCGACATATCGATACAAGTATAGAAAATCAATATGACGACAACACGGTTAGTTCGTTATAACAAAAATGAGTTTCACATAATTAACATAAGTATATCTAACACGCACCCTTGAACGCATTTTGGTATAATTACGAATAATTAACTGTACTGTGCTCCCTTATACAATCTTTATAATAGAAACGAGGTATAAATAAAAGGAACGTTATTTTCGCTTATATTTATACGCTAATTAAACCTAATTTCGTAATAAAGGAATTATACTTTGGCTTAGGCAAAGCTTTCGTTAAGAAATCGGCAATCATGTCGTTCGTAGATATGTGATTAACGATGATATTTTCGTTTTCAATATGTTGACGAAAAAAATGACAACGCATGTCTATATGTTTAGTTCTTTGACTTATAGAATGGTTTTTATCTAAACTTAACGCACCCATGTTGTCACAGTATAGTGGTATCGTTTTATTGTTACAATCGTTCTCTATTTCTAAAGATAAACGACGCAACCATATTGCTTCCCGACAGGCGAACGAAAGTGCTATATACTCTGCCTCTACGGTAGACAAGGCTACACTTTTCTGCTTCTTGCTATACCAAGATATTAGTCCATTATTTATCATAAATATACATCCGGTAATCGAATTTCTGGTGTCTTCGCAATTCGCCCAATTAGCATCGCTAAAACCTACGATATCATTATTGCTGTCCCCTTTAAAATAGATTTTAAGTTTTATTGTACCTTTGAGGTATCTGCGTTTAACGGCGTTCCAATGCTCATTAGTCTGGTTTTGATTAAAACAACTTACGCGATTTACAGAGAAAGCAATGTCGGGACGTGAGATCTGGCTTAAATATAAGAGACTTCCTACTGCTTCAACATATGGTACTTCCTTCATATCTTGTTTTTCTTGCGTACATGGGGTTCTTTCGCTGTTTTCAATTTTATATTTGGGTCTATAAGGGTGGATACTAGATAGCATCCTTCCATCCCAAATTTGTGAAGAATGGCCTCAATGTAATTTGATTGATTAATATATAGCTCTCCTCGTTGCCAGTCTCTTTCGATCGTCATATCTAAGCATTGTTTGACGTCTCCTAAATTTTTCATTTCAAAGTGCTTGTTTAAATGTATTTTCAAACGCTCTTCTTTTTCAGGATTATTCGATAATATAATGAAGCCATCTACATAGACTGCTGAAAGTTTTTTTTTATTTGACTTATCTATATAGGCATGTATCAGCTGTCGATTTTTTCATTCCTATATCTCGTAGTGCGGCATCAAGTGTTTTGTTCCATGTCCGTCCGCTTTGCTTAAGACCGTATAATGCCCTTTTTAATTTTAAAGTTGTACCTTTCTTGTATATATTTTCCATGCCTTCTGGTGGTTCTACGAATATATCTTCGTTCAATTTTCCATTGAGGTATGCAGTTGATACGTCCCTGTGAGTGATCTTTAGATCTTCTCTTACCGCCATTGCTAGCAAATATCTAATGGTGTTGTATTTTACGACGGGAGCGTATGTTTCGTCGTAATCAATTCCGTGTAATTGTGCATAGCTTCTAGCTACGAGTCTTGCTTTGTATTTTATTAAGTCATCTTCATTTCTTTTAACTTTGAAGATTCATTTTAATTTGAGTAGTTTTTTATCTTCGGGCTTATCCACGACTTCCCATGTATCGTTGCGTTGTAATGACTTGAATTCTTCGTTCATAGCTGCAATCCACTGTTCACAATCATGACGTTCGAACGCTTCTTCTATAGTTCGTGGTGCTTCTAATGAACTTTCATATATCAAATATGATATATAATCTTGTAGTATTCTTCGTTTTGGTATTCTTTGTGACCTGAGCGTTGGTTGTATGATATGTGATGGCTCCGATTCGTGTTCAGATTCGATTGGTGTTTCGTAGGAGTTATCGTCTGACGATTCATCGGTATCAACAGCTTTAGGTTCAGGATCATCTGTGTTATCTGCTTGTGTAATGGGATCAAATAAATTAATAGTTATTTCTTTGTGTTCGGGATTATTGATGCGTTTGTCTTCAAGAAATACAGCATCGCGACTTATTACAATCTCGTTATTTTTCGTGTCGATAAATCGATATCCCTTAGTGTTATCACAATATCCTATGAATGTCATTTCACGAGATTTTGGATCCCATTTATCACGTTTTTCTTTAGGTATATATACTAAAGCCTTGGATCCGAAAACTTTAATGTATTCCAAATTCGGCTTCTTACCATTCCAGGGTTGTTCTGGAGTCATTTTTAGTAATACCTTTGTGGGGGATCTATCAATTAAGTATTCAGCGGTTGCCGTTGCTTCTGCCTGATATTTCTTAGGTAGTTTTGCATCGATGAGCATGGATCGTGCTCGTTCCACAATCGTACGGTTCGCTCTTTCGGCAACTCCGTTTTGTTCGGGGTTGTAGGGCGCTGTTGTCTAATGTTTTATTCCACCTGTAGCTAAAATTTCCTTAAATGTATTATTGATATATTCGCGTCCGTTATCGCTACGTAATATTTTTATTTTTTTGCTTGTTTCGTTTTCTACTAACGCTTTAAAATTCGCAAAAACCTTAGGCGTTTCGCTTTTACATTTTAAGAAATAGACATACATTTTTCGACTATGATCATCAACGAATATCATAAAATATCGCGACCCCCCGATCAAGTCTACCGACATGGGCCCGCAAAGATCGGAATGCACTACCTAATGGTATATCTAATATAGCGTTTGCACGTTTTTTGCTACTTACAAAAGGACGTTTACTTAATTTGCCTTTAACGCAAATTTCGCATGTTACCTTACTTGGTTTACAATTTTCTATTCCAGTGGCTAGTCCTTTCATTAACATGGATATACTAACGCGATTGAGGTGCCCTAGACGACGATGCCACTTCTGTTCTTCTTTCTCTTGTATCATGGTTGCCATGGCTTTTTCCTCGATAGTTTTAAGCTTGTAGACAATCATTTTCTTTTGTTGCACTGGCAATGATTTCTCCTTGAGAATCCATTATTTGGCATCCAGCTTTGTTAAATGTAACAGTGTTTCTTTTTTCGACAATCTTGCCAACCGATAGCAGGTTCGTTGCTAAGCTCGGCACATAAAGAACTCCTTCAGCTGTTACCTTTTGACACCGTTCACCAATATTGACATTTAAAGTTGTGTCTCCTCGGCTTCTTATAGCTAACGCTTCATGACTCGCGATTGCTATTTGGCTGTCAAATTCTGTAGCATCTTGTATATTTTCTGGGTGGCAAGTCATATGTGATGATGCACATGAATCGACGTACCAGGAATTCTTGTCTGCTTTGTTTGATGTACATAAGCATGGCAAGAAAAGCTTTAGTGGATGTAAGCGGTTTTCCTTCTGGTTCCTTTTTATTTTCAAGCTGCCTTTTGTTTTTAAACTAGCATTTATTTGTGGAATGTCCTAACTTGTTGCATATCTGACATTTTGCAGATTTATTTGAATTGGGTTTTCTTCGGACTTTACCTGTCTTTGTTAGAAATGGTGTGCCTTGTTGGCCTTCTTCATTTAGATTTGAGTCGGTTATCTCCTGAAGAAGTTCCACTTTTATTGTGTCAGCAGTGATTGTGATACCAAAATTTTCTATAGCTATAATCATTGGTTTATATTCGTTTGGAAATCCTGACAGCAGAAGTGCTCCAATCATCTCTCCTTTTATGTCGAAATCGATCTCTCTCAATTGATGCGCGGTCGTTGGGATTTTGTTGACATATTTTTCTATGGATTGGCATCTCTTCAATCGAATGGATGTTAGATTTCAAAGTAAGGTTACCTTACAGATTAATCCTTTGTCTTCAAACGTTTCTTGAAGCTTATCCCACGCTCCTTTCACAGTGGTTATTTGTTGGATGTATCCGTAATTTCTTTTGTCAAGGGACAATATGATTTTTGCACGTGCTGTGGTACATTTCTTTGTGTCTATTAAGTATGCTTCGGCGCCTTCCACGCAACCTCATAAGTCTGTTGCTTCTAAATATGCTCTCATAGCAAACTTCCAGCTTCCGTAATTCTCTCTTCCTAGGAGTTTTTCGATCTGGACGTTTTCACTCGTGTTTAGATCCATTGTGCAATTGTGGTTAGATTTGTCCAACGTTGTACAATGATCGCGCAATGCGAACGAAAAGCTGTTACTTATATTCTGTTTAAACAGTTTTCGTATTAGAACGTATTTATTACCTCATTGAGCCTACCTGGGCCCATAACCTGATAGAATATTAGGTTTTCTAGGAGAGAAAATAAAACGAGTAAGTTTACTATTCAACTTGGAACAAGAGAGAGAGAGTATCGATCTTTATTTAGAATCGACATATCGATACAAGTATAGAAAATCAATATGACGGCAACGCGGTTAGTTCGTCATAACAAAAATGAATTTCACATAATTGACATAAGTACGAGGTGTGATCAAAAAGTAAGGTGACTTTTTGAATTTCGCGCGCTCTGTACACTCTAATTTCAAAATTTTTTTTTGTTGTGTTGGTACACTCG